TTTTTGCAGGAGGCAGCCCGCGCCAGGGCGCGAGCGGGGTGAACGCCGACCGGCGGGGCGCACGCGGCGCTCGAAGCGGCTCGGTCACGCTTACACCCAAGGCGGTGCTTGAGAGCACCTGCGCACTGGCTCGTCGGACATCCGCTCTCGATGAGTGCGGAGTCCGTCCAGGAGTTGCCCCGCGTCGTCCAGGTCGGGCGTACGAGGACGTGCGCTTCCCTGCTTTCCCAGACTCGTCGACCTCGAGTCGATTGGATGTCTTGTAGAAAAACAAGATCCAGCCACGCGCAGAGGGGGGTGGGGGGAGGGGGGAGGGCTTCTCAGAAGCACCCCTGCTTCTCAGAAGGCGCCGGCCTTGTCTATAGATGTAAGGCCGGCGCCTTCTAAGAAGCAGCCTCCTTCTCAGAAGCCCTCCCCCTCCCCCCCCCCCCTTGTGCCCCTTGTGCGCGCCGCCAAAAGATTAACCTTTCTTTGGGGCGCACGCGGGGCAGAAGACCAGCTGCGACCTCACCGCAGAGCTCTTGACCCCGCGGGCCCCCGCGGGCTCTCGGCCCGCCCCGGGCTGCTCCGAGGCCACGGCAGAAGTCCTGGCTTGTAGTTTTATGTCGGGCCTGTCCCTCTACAGGGGGGGCTTCGACGAAAAATTAAAGATACCCCCAAAATAATCAACACATTGTCCAAAAGTAGTCTGGTGACCATGTTTTTGATTTTTTGTTTACCTTGTTGGGGCATGTTTGGGGTATTTTCATTTTTCGTCGAAAATCCCGATGTAGGGGGACACGCCCGACATAATTGTAGTTTCCTCCAGCGGGGTCAGAAAAGCGCCCTGTGCAAGCCGGCGATGCTGTCCACGGCAAGTCTGAGGCGGTCCAGGGACCGACGCGCTCGCCCCCCTCACCAGAGCGAGCTGGTCCACATGGCACGGGATGCGGAGAGCACCCCGAGGCCGTTGATGGCGGCGGAGCGGGAGGTCTTGACGGGGCCCCCGCGGCACTGCGCAGCCTCCGTGGCCAGCTCGGGCGCTTTGGCCGGCCCGGCGTCGAGGCCGAGCGCCGCTGCCCTTTGGGGGCCGTTCCCGTTCACAGCCACCCGGGGGCGGCTCTGCCTCGGCCTGAAAAGGTGGAGCTCGGTGGGGGGCTGTCCATGGCGGATATGCAGGTGCTCGCCACGGCCGTCGAGGTCCAGGACCTTCTTGACGAGAGCATGGTTTTTTCCTCCAGGGGCCCCAGCGGGGATCTTTTGGACGTTTGCCCAGAAGGCAGGCAGCGAGATTCGCTCGGACATCGGCGTGCCTCTTCGCCCACAGGCTTGGCCCCGGTCGCCAATGGAGCCTGCTCCGCGGCGCTGGCGGCCATCTCCCCCGCGTCCGCGGGAGAGGAATACTCGGGACCTCCGCGTGGCAGCCCTGGAGTCGACGGCGGCCAGCGCTCCCCTGCGCCATCGCAACGCACGGTTTCGCTCACGAGTGCGAAGGTAATGAACCTCGTCGACTCGCAGGCGGTCGCCTCGATCTCAACGCGGGGTCGGACATTGCCCGCGACAAGTTTGCGGCGTTTGGCTCGGCAGCGCGCCGCTGTCATCGCGAGCTCCGACGCGCGCGCGGGCATCGGTTGCATCGACGCAAGTTGCGCCCCGCCGACGAGCCCCCACGCGAGTTCGAGGCGAAGAAATGGGCCTGAAAAGGTTGGAGCACAATCGGGCGCTTAGCGGCGGAGTTGGCTCCTCGACGCCCGGGCGCAGTCTGCTAAGGCGGGAACGCTCTTGCGGGACCTTCAGATCACCAAGCGACTCGTGGTCGGTGCGTCCGCTGTGCCGGGCGGCTCTTCATCTCTGTGGAAGTCCCATGACCGGCGCTTGGCGTTGCTGACCGATGTCGATTTTGGCCTTGCGATGTAAATCGAGGCTTGCTGGTCGAAGCTCGAACCGCTGCACCTGGCGGTCAACGCCGCTGCTGCCCCCCACAGTGAACGGGCCCTCGCGGGGCGACTGCAGAGCAGCTGGGGCACGGCGCGAAGCTGGAGGCGAGAGAGAGAGAGAGAGAGAGAGAGAGAGCGCGCGCCTCGCTGCTCCTCGCTCTGTTCGTCTGCTGGCGGTGCCCCAGCCTTCGCTGCTGCTGCTTGGGGCCTGGGGCGGCAGGGCCCGCTGACAGCCGCGCCCCTGCGTATTGACGCGTGCACGCGCGCAGGTGAGCGAATGGCCCTGCGCAGACAGCATGTCATGATACTCGATAACCGAGCCGCGATGGAGGTTGAGTCATCAGAGATGGGACCTCGGACGGGCCTCTCCGACGCGGCGACCGCTGAGGATAGAGTCAGCAGGACAGCGCCGAAGCGTCGGCGCTTCCAGCTTGGCCCCGACGACCTCGCGCGCGGCGCGGCGGCGCCCATGAGTTGCTTGCGGGCGGGGAGGCGCGACCGCCCACTTCACTCGCCATCGAAATTTGGAGTCGACGCTTCAGCAAGGCCGATGGAGCGGGGCCAAAGTTGCGAAGGTGCACTAGCCTCGGGCGACCGCAGAGACCGTCGCGATCACGCGTCTCCCTCGTCAGCGGAAGTTGATTGGAACTGCCGCTCTCCGCCTGGAACAGCATCTGCAAACAGATGCGGGCGTAGGAGAACATGTTGCATCAGCAAGCTAGGGGAGACGTGGGAAGGCCCTCGAGGGGGCCCCAGGTGTCTCAACTGCGTTGCAAATCAGTGATTGATGTTTGGGCCGCGTGCCCGCGGCATTCCCCCTTCACCACGGCGGTGTAGATGGCTAGCTGGAGCTGGCCATTTGGGTCGCCGCACCGGGCGTTGGGCGAGACCACCGAAGGTTGGCTCGCGCGGGGTGCCTGGGGCGTTTTCCCTCGAGTGCGCTCGATCACCGCACCGAACTACTGGCTGTGCGACCTCAAAGCAGGAGTGCACCCAAACAGATTTCGTGTATATCAGAGGCGAGAGGGTGGGATCGCAGCGATACGGAAAGCCCCATCACGGGGAAGTCGGTTTCGGTTTCGCGTTCGCGTTCGCGCGCCCGGGCGAGGCGAAGGTGCGTGGACGGGCGAGAGGGATGAATTTTCTTCTGGCGGGGGCGCCGCCAGGCCAAAAGACCGCCCCCCACGGGTGGTCCGGCGGTCGCCGGGTGTGTGAGAAAATTTGCGAGGTCGATCGTGAGATCGATAGGGAGGTCGATAGTCATATGGATCGTGAGAATGATGGTGAGATCGATAGTAACACCGATATCGAGGCTGATAGTGAGATCGATCGCGAGATCGATCGTGAGTCCGCATAGGAGATCGATGGTGTGAATGACCGAGTGGGATCGACGGCGAGATTGGCAGTGAGATCGATGGTGAGAGGGATCGTGAGATCGATTGTGCCATCAACACTGAAATCGATTGTGAGACCAATTGTGAGAATGATCGGTGAGATCGAAGATGAGATCAGTAGCCCGATCGATAGTCAGATTGAGAGGGGACCGATTGTAAAATCGATCGTGATATAGATGTCGAGATCAATATCAAGGCCGATCGTGAGATCCATTGTGACTTCGTTAGAGAGATCGATAGTAGGATCGGTAGTGAGATCGATAAGTAGATCGATAATGATTATGTGGTTCTTCCCACCCTTAAGCTTTCTTATCACGCGAAGTGTGGTCGTATCGGTACAGGTATATGTATATGTATATATACATACATTTATATATCTATATGTACATAACCAATTTGCTTATACATACATATGACGGATTACATGTATGATACATATATATATATATGTACGTATAGAGCTCTCCACAGGGAAGCCAATTTCGGTATCATGTTCGTGTTGCGCGTGCGGGCAATGCGAAGTTGCGTGGGCGGGCGAGAGGCATGAACCCTCTTCTGGCTAAGGCGCCGCCGTGCCAAAAGACCGCCATCCCAAGTTGTCTGGCGCTGGCCGGGGGTGTCCCGCGGGTGTCCCGTTGGTATCCCGTCGGTGTCTCGTCGGTGTCCCGTAGTGGACTGATAGTGAGACCAGCAATGCGATCGGTACTGAGATCGATCGTGAGGCCGATAGTGAGGTCGATCGTGAGATCGTTAGTGGGATCGATCGTGAGATCGATAGTTGGAAGGACAGTGAGATCGATTGTGCGGTCGTTAGTGAAATCGATAGTGAGGCCGATAGTTAGGTCGACCGTGAGATCGTTAATGGAATCAATTGTGAGATCGATAGTGGGGAGGAAAGTGAGGTTCACTGTGCGGTCGATACTGAGATCGACCGTGAGATCAAGTGCGAGACCGACTGTGAGATTCAGATAGTGAGAGCGATAGTGAGAGCGACGGTGCGGTCCATAGTGAGATCGATCGGGGGATCGATCGTGAGATCGATCGTGAGATCGAGAATTAAAGCTGTATTAGGGTCGATCGTGAGATCGATGGTTAGATCGATAGAGAGGTCGGTACTTGTATACATAGTGAGATCAATGGGAACGGCGACAGTGAGATCGATAGTAGAATCGATAATGAAATCGATAGTGAGGCCGATCGTGAGACCGATAGTGTGACCGATCGTAGGACCGATCGTGAGATCGATATCGAAATCGATAACGAGATTGATAGTGAGATCGATCGTGAGATCGATACTGGTATCGGTAATACGATCGATAGTGCGATCGATCGTGAGATCGACGTTGGTTTCTCCCCCCCCCGAACCTCCTTATCACCTGAAAGGTGTCCGTATAGGTGCTCAGAGAGACAGAGTGCTTGTCTGTCCTTCCATTGTTCCCTCTACCGCGGATCCTCCCCCCCGCCCCCGCTCCCAATACCCGTGCGCCCATTATCCGAATCCCTCCCTCTCTTTTTGTCCCTCTCTCTCTCTCTTTCTCTTTCTTTCTCTTTTTTCATATCATCTTCACTGTCGCATGTCTTTATGAGTTCTTCATGCCGTGCCAGCAGCCGTACCACCAATGTTGGCATCAACAGTTGCAGTTCTATGCAAATCATCCCTGAACATGTCGGACCCGCGAAACTTGGGCAGGCCCAGATCTATTACCCGCCGACTTTCGCGCAAGATGGCGAGTTCACGCACGCGACGGCCGACGCGAAGAAATTACTGGGGGTCCTGAACCATTTCTACTCAGAGTCGTCTGGCCCAGAGCAGGAGTTGCCGGCCATGGGCTGTCTTCTGCCTTTACATTTCCATCTTTGCCAAACACACTCCCCGTGATCCATATCCTCCTCAGTTCATCGCCATCTGAGAATTTGTTGGGGCAAGGGCGGGGGCAACTAGCTAGATGTACCCATACGCACGCGCACGCGGGTGCACGCAACTTGGCATCATGTGATATGATGCGGCAGGCTGGGGTAACACGTTACACAATGCAAACGCATATCTTCTGCTGACATAGAATGCAGCACAATGTGATATATTGTAGAGCGAAGCACCCACCAGTACTATTGGGCGTACTGCATTCAATGAGGTGGAGGGTGATGGTACGTTCCATGCTGTCTCACATGTTGTGCTCGCATGTTTGCCGCGTCGTCGGCCTCCATATAGTTTGAGATGTAGTTCCGTATTCAGCATGAGTTGCAAGTTCAAATTGATGTTGAGTTGGGTATTCGCCTGACCGGCCGTTTGTTGACAATCGTTGGTTTCAGTTCTCATTGGTTAGCTAACCTTTGCGCGTTGGATGCCCGCATCATCAGCTTTGGCCGTTGAGTTTCGGCGTAGCCTCACATTCAAAACTGCGTAGCCTCAGCGGCACCACACTGGAACTCAACTGTGAGAACTCATGCACACAATCTAGCAGTGCGCTATGCTTGATTATAGCGTTTGTTGGTTTTTTAGTTTTCGTCGTTGCGGGTAGTTGCTCGACTATTTGTGTGAACCTGGTGTTGAACGTTGTGAAATGCAGCAGTCGATTGCGTTTGATACCAAGCATCGGCATGACCTTTCCCAATCAGTGCTCGCACTGAAAGGGTCTTAGTGGATACTGAAAGTTGGCGAAGGTGGGCGGCCGATTTCGGTGGGCGGCTGGGTTCCCGGCTTCCCGGTTGCGGGTTCCGGGCTGGTTTCGGCGGGCGGCATGGTTCTTAATTTCTTGTTTGTGGGATCGGGTTTGGTTCGGGTGGGCGGCTGGGTTCCAGGGTTCTTGGTTTCGGGCCGGATCCAGGGTCCCCGGCAGTGTAAGGTTGGTTGGGCTCCCGGGTTTCAAAAGGGAGAGGGAGAGCGATGGATACGAGAGAGGGAGAGAAGGATGCGGAGTGTCTATATATATACATATACATATACATATACATATACATATACATACATACATACATGCATACATACATACATACATACATACATACATATATACATACATACATACATACATACATACATACATACATACATACATACATACATACATATGCATATATAGTTAAAAACTGATGTATATTTTTACATGTATAGATACACTGGTGTGGACCCGTGGATTAAAACCAAGAAGTTGGGTGGATCGAAGCATGGTGGCGCGCGCTGGGAGGTGCGACGCTGCCAGCTACTGCCGTAGATCCCTTGAAGCTTGTTCTAGTGCTGCTCCCCCGCCGAAGGCGCCCAATGCATCGAAACGGGGGCCGAAGTGTTCGAGCTTCGCAAGAGGCAGAAATTCCAGGAGTCCAGGCCTGAGCAACGTTGGAAGACTCGCGCCGGGATCGCGGCGGACGCGGGAGCGGGTTCGGGCAAACGCGGCGCCGTCTCGGGCCGCGTCGGAGGCGTCGGAGCGGCGTCGCGGCAAAGTAGGGAGCGCAGCGGGGCAGCCCAGGGCCACCGCGGGGCAGCCCAGGGCCACCGGAGTGTCAAAACATTTTTTTTGCGCCTGCGAGGGGCCGCCCCCCTCTGTTGGAAGCAATTTTGAAGCTTCTTGGGAGCCGTTTGGGAGCTCTATGAGGGCTGTTTCGGGCTCCTTGTGGGCTTCTCGGAGCCCTCTTGGGCCGGCAGGGCGCCTCGCGGGCCGTCTTGGGGCCGTCTTGGGCATCTTGGGCGCCTATCGGGCCGTCTTGGGGCCATCGTGGGCTGTCCTGAGCCCCTCTTGGGCCTCTCGTGGGGTCCTCTTGGGTCGTCTTGGGCTCCTCTTGGGCCGTCCTGGGCCCGTCTGGAGCCATCGTTGGGCCGTCTTGGGCGATCTTGGAAGCCTCTGGGGCCGTTTTGGGCGCTTCGAAAAGCAATAAGACGAATCTGCTGAAAATGTAAATTTTCCGGAGGGACTGTGACGACTTTAGCTTGATGGAACCCTTTCGGGGGACCCCCTGGACCCGCTGGAACCGTCCGGGGGCGTCCTTGGGGCTCATGGGGCCGTCTGGAGAACCTTTTGGGCCGCCTGAGGTAGTCTCGGGGCCTCCATAGGCCGTCTCGGGGCTGTCCTGGGCCCATCTTGGGCCTCTCGTGGGGTCCTCTTGGGTCGTCTTGGGCGCCTCTTGGGCCGTCCTGGGCCCGTCTGGGGCCATCTTTGGGACCTCTTGGGGGCCGTCTTGGGCGATCTTGGAGGCCTCTGGGGCCGTGTTGGACGCTTCGAAGACCAATAAGCCGAATCTGCTGAACATGTTAATTTTCCGAAGGGGCTGTGACGATTTTTGCTTGATGGAGCCCTTTCGGGGGACCCCTTGGACCCGCCTGGAGCCGTCCGGGGGCGTCTTGGGGCCCATGGGGCCGTCTGGAGAACATCTTGGACCGCCTGAAGGTTGTCTTGGGTCGTCTCGGGGCCTCCATGGGCCGTCTCGGGGCTTTTCTGGGGAGCTCAGGTGCCGTTTCGGGCCCTTCCGGGGGCCTTCTGGAGCTGTTTCGGGGTTCTCTCAGGGCTCTGGGGACCGGGGGGGCCCGCAAACCCAAAAGGCATCTTTCGGATTTATTTGAATATATTTATATATATATATATATATATATATATATATGTGTGTTGTGTATGTGTGTTGTGTGTGTTGTGTGTGTGTTTGTGTGTGTGTGTTGTGAGTGTGTTTGTGTTTGTGAGTGTGAGTGTGAGTGTGAGTGTGAGTGTGAGTGTGAGTGTGAGTGTGAGTGTGTGAGTGTGAGTGTGAGTGTGAGTGTGAGTGTGTGTGTGTGTGTGAGTGTGAGTGTGAGTGTGAGTGTGAGTGTGAGTGTGTGTGTGTCCCCGTGCAAGAGGCCTGGGCGCCCGGGGCCCGGGGCCCGGGGGGGCATGGGAGGACCAGGGCTTCCCAGACCGCTCCCAGAGCACCCCGGAGCTGCCCTGGAGCTCCCAGACTGCCCCAGAGAGCTCCCAGAAGCCCTCGGGGCACTTCGACAAGCCCCTTCAAGACAGCCCAGAGAGCCCCAACGTGGCCCCAGATGGGTTCCAGACAAGAAATACACAGCCCAAGAGGCCTCCAAGAGGCCTCAAGAGACCTCCGAGAGGCGTCCCGAGAGAGCCCGAAGAGGCCCAAATCTTTGATTTTCATTGTTTTTTCCATATGTTTTTAGGTGTCTCGCGTTTTCGACCTTCCGACGCTGGAAGACGGCCGACGACGCCCCCAAGACCGCCCCAAGACCGCCGAAGAGGCCCCAAAAGAGCCCCGAGACGGCACCAGGGAGCCCAAAAATTGCCCAGGAGGAGCCCCGGACGGCCCAAGAGAGCCCCAGGACAGGCCCAAGCTGGGCCCCGACGTGGCCCCGGTCCCAACACGGCCAATGTACAGTCGAAGAGCTTTCCAAGAGGCCCCAGGAGAGGTCCGAGAGGCGCCCAGAGAAAGCCCGAAGTGGCCCATATCCTTGATTTCCAGTCGTTGTTTTGTAATGTGTTTCGCTTTCTCGCGTTCTCGAACTTCCAACGCTCGAACACGGCCGAAGACGCCCCGAAGATCGTCCCGAGACCGCCGAAGAGGCCCCAAAGAGAGCTCCAAGACGGCCCAGGAGAGCCTGAAGACTGCCCAAGAGCAGCCCAAGACTGCCCAAGAGAGCCCCAGGACAGGCCCAAGCTGGGCCACAGAGCGGCAGCGGGAGGCCCAAGAGGCCAAGCTGGGCCACAGAGCGGGAGCGGGAGACCCCAAGGCGCTCCAAGACGGCTCAGATGGCCGGGGCCTCCCCCTTCCGTCCCTCCTTCCCTCCCGCCCCCTCCCCTTGCCTCCATTCCCTCCTCTCTCCTCTTCCTCCCCTCGCCCCTCAGCTTTCATGCTCCTCCCTCTCCTAGGACGACCCCGCCAGAACGCCAGACAGGCCCCGCCAGAGCGAGCGGGGCATCGCTATACCCTATCATGTCACAGGTTGCTTTCCCCCTTCCCACCCCTCAAGGTCGACCCCGGCAGGGCGAGAGCGTTCTGACTACGCATTCCTCTGCGTCGATGGCATGGGCCCGAGAACGCTGGAAATCGTCGTTGTGACCTCACCGGGGCTTACAGCGGCACCCGTGCCTCATCTGCGACTAGAATCTCAGCGCGCGCGTAGCGCGCGTGTGGTTTTTATGTGTATATATACACACATTCATACAAACACAGATACACACATACAAATATGTGGTCGCCCCCCTGTGATAATACCTCTCTCTGCGTCTCGGTTTCTTCCTCGTTTTCCTCTCTCTTCTTTCTCCTCCCCCTCTCCTCCTGCTCCTCCTCCTACTCCTCCTCGTCGTCCTCCTCCTACTCCTCATGATCCTCCTCCTCATCCTCCTCATCCTCCTCCTCCTCCTCCCTCCTCCTTCTCCTCCTCCTGTTTCTATTGGTAGCCATACAGAACCAATACCAGACAGCGCTTGGCGCCCTCAGCGCAAGGAGTACTGAGTATGTTTTGTTTGTTTTGTTTTTTGATTGTTAAACCACGAAGCGCTGTGTATGTTTTCTTTTGGTGTTGCAGGCCCCGGTGCTCGCCGCTGCCTCCCTTGCAGCACTTCTCTTTGAGCCTACGAATCCCAAACAAAATACGCAGTAGTTGGCGCCCTTGCCTTTGGTGCAAGGAAGCACTGTGTTTGTTTTATTGCTTTTTGTTTCTTCTTCAGTTTGCGCAGCCACGAAGCACTGTATTGTTGTTTGTTTGTTTGCTGGTTTTGCAGACCACGGTGCTCGCCGCGGCCTCGCTCGCAGCAATTCTCCCTGAGCTTGCAACCACCACCCCCCCACCACACACACACACACACAAAAAAAAATAAAAAATGTTGACGCCCTTGGCGC